GCTGCTCGGCGCTACTTTCACCTCTGACCCTCCGCTGCCCGGCGGGCCGAAAAGAAAGGCTGCAGGTCAGCTGCCGTGGGAGAATGGATCAGTGTAGGTCAGCTGCCGGGGATGGTTAGATCGCTGAGCGGCTGTGGGAGACTGGGTCACTGCAGGCCATCTTCCGTGGAAGGCTGGGTCATCCTCAGCCCAGATGCTGCGTCGGTAGGCTACTTAAGCTGTTGATCAGCTAGTAAGGTCGCCAACGGGTCCTTAGCCGTTGATTGTTTCGGCGGCGGCCGGGTCGCGATGGGCCGTCGCCAACGATGCGTGAACGTGCGTGCCAACGGCCTTGGCCTGCACCAACCACCTGTAAGGTGACGGGTCACCCGCACCATCCGACCACGTGACTGGGGTACAGATGGACCCTCCTCGGCGCCGGCCTAAACAGGGCCGAGAGTGGGCTAATGCCAAGCTTACTCCGTTTAGTTCGTGAACGCTTTTTCTAATGTCTGCGCGGCTCTAGCTCTCTGGTCTTAGACGAACGGGGCTGCTAGTTGGCGGCGCTCTCACAGGACCCCGTTCCGCTAGCATTTGGGAACTGGTGACTGGGTTCGCGGCGGTGCCTGTTCCCATTAACTCCCCTGCTGCTCCCCGTCCTGATCAGCCTCCGCCCCTGCGGCGCGGTCGACGTGTTTTAGCGGGGCTCGGCGTCCCCCGGTCGGTCGGTCCCGGAGGATGACCTCTCCCCCCGCCGGCGGCGATCCATCAGCCAAAAGCCACCGGCCGCCGGTGATGACTGGTCGAGACTGGCAAATCGATCGTCCGCGGTCGGTCCCGCCGCCGGTCGCGGCCGCCGCGGTTCATCGGTGGCCGCGCCGCCTCGGTGGCGAGCGTCGGTACCGGCGGGCGCCCCGGCCGGCCGGCCTTTTTAGCCTGAGCGCGCGCCCATTGTGATCCCCTGAGCCGAGCAGTGGCGGGGAGGGTGCGCCGCCGGCAGCCGAATCGGCAGAACACCGCAGACCGGCAGTGCCGCGCACCGGCTGACAATGGGAAACGGCACCGCCCGCACCGGCTCATCAGTCAGAGAAAAGCCGCCCAAGAATTTATGTTCAGCTATTTTCCAATCTTAGTTGCACATGGAAATCGTTTGACTAGTTTTCAATTTGATGGAGCACATTGGCCTAGGTGCGGCAATCTCTAAACCGGTGCCACCGTATATGGCACGCAGATGCTTCCAGTGAAAGGAACCCACTACACTTGTGGAAATATTTGCGCACACTGATTGCGGAAACACCCATTTCGTTGCGGTGGTTTGCCGGGTATGGGTAGCGGTAAAGTTTGTAGAGGGGTGGGGCGCCACTCACTCCTCCCCGTTCACGGCACCGGACTCCTCCGCTGGGCACGGTCGGTCCTTGTGCAACGGGGGCTGTCAGTGCTCAGTATTGTCCAGCGTTGCGTCACACGGGCCACGGGATACCTCTCTCCATTCCGCCGGACCCACGGCGCCGTCCGGCTGCCCTCCTGAGTGGGTACCGCGCCGACAGTCGATCCCCAGGGTGGAGCACCACTCGGGGTGGGGTCACTTACGCCATCTGCGCCTCCCGCTCTCCCCGTCACGACCTGGCGCTGACCTGAGGGGGTGGCCGGAGCCCCACCCCGGCACGATCTGCCAGGACCGGCGGGGGCGCGGGCACGGTGTGGCCAGGACCGGTGTCAGTCAAACAAGGCGTGGAGCTTATCGGCTGAAGCTCCCATCCGATAGGTGTGACCACTGACCATATCTGATGGGAGCTCTTCAGATACTTTGGTGTGCACGGTGAGAGTTGATTGAGCTGTGGCTTAGCTGAACATTGCCCCGAATGTGGCTAGGCCTTCGGGCTCGCGATGGTTTGTTTGGCTCGTCTTCGTAGTAGCCAGGGCCACCAATGAATAAACGGGTTTTGCTTCATGTTATGTATGCATAGCCAGAAGTTAAGAAACTACGCCTGCATTTCTATCATGCATTTTTATTACATTTCTATTATGCCTGGTCGCCAGATGCCGGATAACAGGAGACCAGGCTACAGAGGCACCGGGCCGTGTCATGTCGTGGGCGTCTGCTTATTTATCGATGTAGCTTCTGCAGGGGCTCTGTTCATGTTTTGTCCACTTGCAGCGGGTCACCTGCATTACAATGCACGGGTCTCTCGGCGTTGGCCAAAAGCGTATGTTATGTAGTTATACACCAGTGAGACGGGAGACTGGAGAAAAGGGTGGTGATCTGTCTGAGCGCAGCCCGGGAGCAGCCGCCGAGTGACCTCCAACTCCCTGCAACACTGCCTTGGCAGCCACTCACCAGCGCGAGTCCGCACCCACTGACCTAATGGTGTCAAACATGTTTACCGGGCATGATAGCCACACTCATGGTTGCAAAACAAGGACAGGTGCAAAAACAAAGAGTGCTTCTAGGGTGTTCAAGGCTCACCCTCGTTTTCACACTCGCGTCTCACGAGTGTTCACTTTCAGTGGACGCTGGGTCAGTGGCGATACTCGGTTCAGTTACTTGAATGTGAGTGGCGTGTCACTGACGACATGAGGCCTCACTTCCAGTCGCCCGCCGCTCGGAACGTTCCAGACTCCGGGCGGTGGGCGGGGGCAGTCTGTCACCACCCCGCCCCCGCCCCCGCCCGAGCCGCCCCGAGCCGAAGAAAGGTAGCTCGGTGCCGCCGCCGCGACGTGCGCCGTGCGAGAGTGAGCGTGGGTAGCCGCGCCGCAGCGCCGGTGACGGCGGCGCTGACCGCTCCTCGACCATTGTCTGCAGCCGTGACCTCCGCAGACGCGCGTGGGATGTCATGCCGCGTCATCGGCGCATCATCGGTCACCACTCACAGCTCTGCCTTACTCCCTTCCTCTCTCTCTCTCCGCTCACCTGCACCTCCCACATTGCCAGCGCGCCACCGACGCCAGACGGGATAACCGCGATACGTTTGTGTTTCTCTTTAGCACTTCTTTAGTTGCTTGTTTAACAGTTAGCCCATAATCGTTGTCAGCAGCTTTGTGAAACTTGAGATGGATAACTGATTGGTTTCAGAGACTGTAAAGCTTCTCTGTTTACCTTCTATAGTATAATTGTTTTTCATTTTTCGGAAGCTCGGTCAATCATGATGTTGGATATAGAACTTTGAGAACACTAAATGTGTTTTGAACTTGGGTGCTAACGCTGGTTCGTGAGTTGTGGTTTTTGTTTTGTGCCGTGTTCTCGTGCGTTTTGGCCCGCCGGATGAGGTGAATGGCATTACAAACATGATATTTTCTTTAGTGTTTACCATTTGATAGAAATCTGAGGGGCGTGGCTCAGGATAAGCCAGATTGTGGTGCAGTCATCATCGATGAAACAATTACTAGAGACTATGAAGGGAAAAAAAGAGTAAACGCTTGCCTACTCGTGTATATCTGATACCTTTATGACAGCGTATAACAGTTAATATAAAAAAGTGGGCGCAACACTCGTCAGCCTTAGCTTTAACGATTGGTTATTTCTCTGCCGGAAGTTTAATTCTGTGTGCTGTTTTCACCTTCGCTGCTGCGTAACAGTCGGATGGTAGGCGTGTCAGGGATCCATTTGTTTTCTGCTGTGGCCGTGAGCGGCGGCGCCGCTGGGCGCGTCGGCCGCGCCTCTGCTGTGACCTCTGAGGTCACAGCCGTGACTAGGTGACCCCGCGGCCGGCGAACGAGTCGCACGCTGGGAGCGCCCCTCCCTCCCGAGATTGGCGCTCGGCGCGGCCGCGCACCGCTGACGACGTGGCGCCTCGGGGCCAGACGGGGGTCAGACTCGGCACCCAGTCCAGGGTCGCTGAGCGGGGGCGGTGCGTGTCAGAAGTGCGTCACACACCACGGGGTGTAGGCGCACACCGAAGTCGCGGCGTTAAGATTGCTCGGACCGCCGCCGATGCCCCCGTGGATGGCTGTGACCTCCAGCCTATCTGCCGGCGGGTATAGCTGGGGTGTTAGACTCGCAGCTCGAGGCGCCCCGTGCCCTCCGCTGTCGCCCCCGGCTCGGTCTGGTCACGGGGCGGGCCGTGCACGCTCTGCTTACGGCGCGTGCGGAGGACGGGCCACGGCCGCCGCACTCTGCCGCCGGCGGGCTGGGAAACGGGCCACGGCCGGCGACGGTACGCGCCGGTCTGCGCCCGCTGCCGCCCCCAGCTGGGAAGGTCGGCCTTCTCCACTGTATGACCCGGCTCCCGATCCCTACCGGAACCCCAGCGGACCTTCCAACGAACCCGCCGTGGTGCCCTACCAATTACCAGAGCCTTCACTAAACCCACCACTCAACTGAACCCCAAATCTGAACTTCCCACTGAATCCACTAGCAAATCCACCAGCGCCCCCATCCCCCCGGCCCGGGACCCATCTCACCCTCACACCCACCGGCGGACGAACAGGCCTTGTTCGATCACTTATAAATGCAGACGTCTGCTTTTGAAATGCTAATACGGTTTCCCAATTTGTTTCCACTGAAGGTCTTGAAAACTGAAGATTCGCCGGCCTTGGCCCGAATCGAGGCGTTTATACATTCGTGCCGTATGTCATTTGAAGTGTGAAATGCATCAGCTATTCTCGCATTGTCATGTGCCGTTTTCCGAGGACACGAATGAAGAATCATCGCGCATTACGTTTATGCAACGTTGTGTTCATGTTGTGTTTTAGCCTTCGCTAAATTGAGACCTTCTTCAAAGCGTTGTTGACTTTGGGTTTGAAAGCTATCGCAATGTAGGTAAACCAATGAGACAGATGATATGTAGTGTTGAAAATACAATATTTATGGTAGCAAGTTCCTGTTTTGTAAGGCACATACTCAAAGAACTTATTTTTTTGCTCGTATTTTATGTGGATATGTATAGCTGTGTGTATTCATGCATTACGAATTTTCAGTCCTCGTTCTGTGGTGTTTCGCTTGTGCTCTCTGTGTTTCACGGTGTGACCCGCCGTGTGACCGTGTGACCCACGGTGTGACCATGTGACCTCTCTGCTGGCAGTGTGCGGTGAACTGGGTGACCAGCTCTTCTCCCCTGGACACCGAGCTCGCTCGTCCGACCGGAGACGCCTGCCGCCGCTCGGCAGGTCAGTCTCTCTCCTCAAAACTACCCCTTTCCACCCTACCCCATCAGAACACACGGTCTCAGTGACGATGCGGGTAGTATATTGGCACGGGAACAACAGTGACTGAGCGCCGGCGCTGGCCGAGACGGCCGCCGGCGCGCCGGGCTAATGCGGGGGAAAGATGCGACATATGTATCACGACATATCACAAGGTACCCGGCTGGGACGGGACGGATGGGGAGGGTGTGGGAGGGGTGATGAGTGGGACGGAGTTAGACGGTGGGGATGACGTCCGACTGGGCGCGGTAGCCGAGCTCGTCGGCCTCCCAGGTGACGCGGATGGGGGTGCCGTCGGGCGCGGTGTAGCTGTACTCGCCGCTCATCTTGTAGCTGCCCGTCTCGGGCTCGTTGCCGGGGAAGCTCTGGCCGGAGCGGGTGGCCACGATCTGGTTGGAGGTCTCCAGGTCGGCCTGGAAGCTGCCGTCCTCGTTCAGCTGGTAGTCCTGACGGATGATCTGGGCATCCTTCTCGTCCTGGGCCAGGGCCACGGCCACCAGGCAGAACAGAACAATCTGCCGGCGCAGAGGAGACGGGGTGTCAGCATGAGGCACGTATAGGGCACATGGGCACATGGGCTCCTGGTGAGATGATGTTCAGGGTAATAGACACAAAATGTAGAGGCAATACTTGATTGTTATAACGAGGGCAAGAGCGAATAGACGTGCTGTCACGGAGGCATCTATGGGAATCGAAGTACCGATAGAAGTCGGGACGAACGTTTCTAAAGCCAGATAAATTGACTAGGATGGGATTTTCGCATGTTGTTACGCTTGGGCTGCATATTGGAGTCGGTGACTGAGGGACTCACACTATGGAACATTTTTATCCATTTCATGCTGTGATGCCTTTTAGTGCAAAAAGCGACTCTGGAGCTGTTGCAACTTTGGGATAGAGTTGATATGATATGATGGTGACTCTGGGATGACGGCGATTTTGGAGTCCAAACCCAGATATTGTTGTGACCAGGATGTCTGAAATAGTGGTAACTCGAGACTGCAGCGACTCCAGTGGTGCTATATATCTTTGAGACGACGACTATACGAAGGCGGCGACTCTTGGATGCGGCCACTGCGGCAGATACCGGGGCACTGGGCGGCTCGGCGGCGCGGCTCGCTCTGTACTCACCAGCTTCATGATGAGCGGGGCTGGTGCGTGTCCGGGACGGTGAACGGACGCTGGCAGTCGAGTGATGCCGCCAGTGCCGGCCGCGGCGCCTTTATACCTGGCCGAGCCGCTCCCGGAGAGCGATGCACGCCGCCGGCCGTGACCTTGGTGGACGGCCGGCGGCCGGGGATGTGCGCCGCCCGGCCCCCCTCCTCAGCGGCATACAGGGGTGGCATAGGAGCCCCGGCCTACAGGGGCGGCAGAGCAACCACCACCCTGGACTACATTGGGTGACGGCCGGCGGCCGGGGATGTGCGCCGCCCCGGCCCCCCTCCTCAGCGGGGCTACAGGGGTGGTTGGAGCAGATACTGTCCCGGACTAACTACCAGGGGATGGTCGTAGTTATGTGAGGGGATGTGCCGTGTGCGCCGCCCCGGCCCACTCACCGGCCTACAGGGACGGTGGGGCAGGTACTGCCCCGTCCTGCTCCTCGCTGGCTTATAGAGGTGACATGGCAGGCACTGCCCCCAGACTTCAGAGGGCGACGAGGCAGCCACTGGAGTGACTGCTGTCTCGCCCCTTTCTTAGCGGCAGCGCACTGCCTCGGACCTAATCGGCTTAGCAGTAGGCACGCCCTAAAGCCGCAAAGCAGCAACAAACAAGAACTAAACACGCACACAGTGTGCCCTGTTGCAACTAGCACCAGAGCGTATTATAAGGGATTTTCACTGGGTCGTTAATAAGACTAGGGGTGGGCATCTCACATTCGACAGGGGCGGCGACCTAATCTTCGATAACCCGAACTTTAGAGGTACAAGCATTCGTAACTACCGTCATCTTAAGCTAACTAGTTCCCGTATTATTTTGGGCACCATCTGCTTGAATCACCTCTACGCTGTTGGCTGATAGTCGGTCACCCGTCCCTCTCCAAGCTTCGATGGGCGGCATCGTCACTTTTCGGGGCGGCAGTTCACAATGAGGGCCGGCCGGCCTGTGTCTGGCAGGACTCGTCCTGTGTCATGTTGGGTGTGATATGCAGGAGTTGATGGATAAGCTCTGTGAGAAGTTGATCTGTCGGGACTCGCAGATCGAGAAGAGGGCCTGCATAAGACCTCTAGATCAAGAGCTACACATATACTGACACCAGAAGACGGGCCCCGTGCAACGTCAAGTGATGGATGAGAGACTGAGAGTGCTTCTGTTTATTACTGCGTGAAAATCAGATCTCAGATGCAACGGACCCACGTTGTCAAAAGTAATGGTCTGCATGATGCTGCATATTGGTTTTTATTGGTAAAGATTTAACCAGCTATTGTGCTTTCATATACTTGATTGAATTATTGAAATGAACGACTGTGTCCCAATCACATGTTCGTTACAGAACGTTTCCTCATGTCGATATGTTAACCCGCGCCCCGTTGGGCTCTGCCGAGCAACGCGCCCTGTTGGGGGGGGGGGGCAATTTGCCCCCCCTAAGATCTCGAGAACCACGCAACCTAGCGACAAGCGGCAAACGGTGTTGGATAGCCCCATCAGGGAACTACCTTGTGACCCAATTTTATTGACCTAGGTCAAATCGATGACGTCACACTCACAGGTCAGGTCAAAGGTCGAATTTTCACCATTTACAGGCATTTCAAGAAATGCGTTGTAAAATCGAGTAAAATGCATTTCATTGAAAATCATTGATGGGGAAATGTTCTTCAAACACATATTTTGCTACTTGAGGTCACTGATACCAGGTCAGGTCACAGAGGTCAGGTCACTGAGGGTCACAATATGAAAATATCATGTGATGCATGTATCATGGTCCATTTTATATGCCAAATACGATTATGTGGGTCAGGCAGCCTTTGGGGTCAGTTTAGATTATGTTCTGGTGAAGGTCAGGTCAAGGTCAGGTCAAATTAGGTCAAATTTCAAAGTTGATATTTTTGCATAAAATGGGTATCGATTCGATGCAGCTCGTCACGGGGAGTTCAATGGTGGTCTAGAATCGCTAAAAATTGAGTTCAAAAATTTGACGTCATCATTTTTGAACAGTTTTTTTTTTCGCTATAACTTGGCCGAAAAACGAGATATCGATCTGAATTTTGGTTTGTATATAGAAGAGCGCAGGGACTATCACATATATTCCGGTTTTTCCGCAATTCGGATTTTTTTGGATTTTTTTTTAGTTTTTCTAAAAAATCAATTTCTTGAATTTTTGGGGGTCAAAAACCCAAAATTTTGAAAATACGAGATAGCAGTTTTGTAGCGCCGCTTTTTGTCTACATGACCATATAAAGAACTTTGAAATTGTTTGGTAACTGTAGATTTGGTGAGCTTTTCAAGATTGCATGTTTTTTGCTCGTTTTTGCTCGAACATGACCTCAGTTTGACCTCAATAACTCCTGACCTAAGGTGACCTAAGACTTGAAATTTTGTGTGAAGGTGTCAAATTGATACCCTGGAAGGTACTGAAAATTTGGCGGCGCTGCGCGCCGCCGTTTTCTTGCTATTTAGAAAAAACCACAGGGGTGGGGGGCCAAATTGCCCCCCAACGGGGCGAGAGTTAACATGCAACTGGCTGCGATATTGTTTGTGATTGTTACGTCGCTCTTCATCGGTTGTTGAGATTCATCATCTGGCGATGAAGTAAACCATTCAGGCAATCCCACGTGGTAAGCTGGTTATCGATGTTGCACATTATCGTCGGCATGCATTTCAAGTAGGAGGCACACGGGAGCACAGATCCAGAGCGATTGATGGCTCCCGTGTACCGTTGTGAAACCTGGCACAGCGCCGCGTTGCAGCTTCACTGCGCCTTATTGAACGTCTTAGTTGAGCAGCTGAGCTGCTAGGCTCCCCTGGCTTCCGGCGCTCGGCTGCAGTCCTTGGTTAGTACGTAAAGGATGAGCGCGCAGCGGGACCTTCTTCAACCGGCACTGCCAATGGCTAGTGGGGGAGGAGGGAGGCGTTGCTGGGTCACGGAGACGGTCGACCGGAATGGATTGCCTCTCGGTGCGGGTGACAGAGCTTCCATTGGTCGACCTGCTCGGCAGTGACGGCTGGCCTTGGACCAGGTGCCGGGAGCGGCCGTTAACGTCAGCGTGAGTCCCGTGGGCAGGTGTGACTCAGGACAGGGCGACCGGGGGGCAGTGGCTGCTGCCGTCCGGCGCACGGCTGGCTGGACCCGGGTCCGCGCTCTTTGTCAGCCATCCGGTAGGGTTCTTTATGGCCCTGGTGGGCTTTGGGTTCTTTGTGGGTCTAACCTCCACCGCTTCTTTCCGATAGCTGCAGAGCTGGGTAATTTCCCTGCTCCATAGCAGGAGTTTCGTCGGTCGGGTCACCAATCTGTATTTTCTGGATACGTATTTACTGCATAGTTGAGTTTGCTGGATGACATGGTGTCCTCAGATCCACGACATAGCAATTTTACAAAAGGTCAACCAGTTTCTCTGTGCGTAACATCATTTTCTAGATACTGCAATTAAATCTTCCACATGCTTTAGGCGGAGCACACCGAATTGATACGTTGGTCGTTGCGTTCATTCTGGTTTGGAATTGTGCTTATTTTCATTGCCCGCCTCATGGCCTCGTGACCCTCGTCACTTGCTTTGTTGGCCTTGCCGGTGCCACGTATGGAAATCCCACTGTTGGCTGGTGCCACGGATGGTAGCATGAAATATCGCCTGTCAGGTAGGACTACGGTGCCTACTGCCTATATCGTCGATACTACGTAGACCCGGCGTCGGTTTAGGGTGCACATCGCTGTCGGTTTGACGTGCGATGAAACAATGTTTCAGTGATTTATTTTCAACATTATCATGCGAGTTTTCTGGGTAATGGTACAGTTTTGGTGGCACTGAATGGCTGCGGCACAAAGTGAAGAACGAAGGATAGACATGACATGAATGTCAGTGATCCACACCAGTCACTGGTCGGTCACTGGCCGGTGTCGATGGGTCAGAGTCACTGCAGTGACTCTGACTCACGGTCACTGTTCAGCAGGGACGGGTCACCGGTGTCTGTCGCTGGGTCAGGGCCAGTGTCGAGCCGCTCCCGCGACGACGACCGTCTCCTTCGACAGTGACTCTCCTTCGCCTGTCTGATTGGACTGGTAATTCTTCGCTCGGTATGCACGTCCCGCCGTGAGGGGAGTGCCGCTGTAGCGCACCCGGGGGCGTCAGAACCGTCACCGCGCTGGGACCCTTCTCACACCGCACTATGAGCCCCGGGCCCTTCTCACACCGCAGAAGGCACGCCTCCAGGCCTTCTCACACCTTTCAGATTGCTCCCGAAACAGCTCCGCTGCTGAACAAACCTCAAATTCAATCTGCGGCCCAGCTGTTTCACAATCTGTGCGTTAAATGAACGTCCCTCGTGCGCTGGCGCCTCCATGATGATCTTTGGACAATTATATCGTTACAGACGACCATAGACAGTTCGTGACGGCGTGCGCGGCGATCCACTCGGAATATCAATTGCGGGGTGATTTACACTCTGGTCCCGTGCAGCCAGTGCAGCCGCCGGTCGGCTGCCATTTGGGCCGAGGCCATCGGAGGTCGCCTGGCCCGATACAAATGGCCACCGGTGCTCCTTCCCCGGCTGGAGAGGGGGAGAGGAGAGTGCGCACTGCTCACTGCATAGAATCCTGCGGTCTGGACCGCCAAGGTATACGACTCTACCTAGGTAGACGGGCATGTTACGTGACAATTGTTCCGCGCGCAATCGCGACGATTGTAGGCTCCAAGTTCCAACCGGAATCGCACTTTTTTTTTTTTTTTTTAATAAATTTAGTCCGAATGGTTGAATGGGCGGATTTGAGGAATCAGAGCCCGCACTAAGCATAGCTTGTTGTGCTGACCCTGACCCCACCACCCGATCGCGCAATTCCAGTTGTATGGCAGAATTTTGTCCGAACGTTTAACGTGCCCACACGACTGGACACGGTCCCCTCCGCTCACTCACATTACCTGGCTTCTGTGCGGCCCCTGCCACAGACACGCACGCCATTACACGTAGGAGCTAAATGTGGCCGCCCACACCGGGGCTTGAACCGGGCTCTCACCACCGGCTAAGCGTCGAAATCCGGCGCTTTTATCCATTCGGCCACGGAGAGG